TATTCATTTATTTATTCTGTTGATATTAAATAATTGAAATTTTATTTTTTATTTTTTATTTTTATTGGATAATAGAATATAATTATATTGGAGAAATAAAAGTACATTCTTCACTAAATATAATTAATAATTTTATAATAAGAATTATATACTTTTCCTTCAACATGACTATATCTCATTATTTAATAAGAGAAGAGAACTAAATTGTTTTCCTCTTGTAATTGAGAAAAAATTGTAAATGACAACCTTACTTTCTTTCTTCCTAATTGAAGTGTGTGAAATAGAAAAGCAATAGAGATTTTTTGTTCATGGACGCTCTCTTGAATCTTATTTTATTTCTAATGTGAGAAACAGATAAAAGAAATAAGAATAGAGAGTGTTCTCCTACTAAGAGTTAAAAAAGATAGATAGTATTAAGAAGTAAATTAGAGGGGATGAGATGTTGTTCTTAATTACCTATCCCATCACCTCTTTTATTTTTGCTCTTTGTCAAGATTGTTGAGGGTAATTCATTTTTCTTAAAGCCAGTCATGATAAGGATTTGGGTTATGCATGGGATTTAATACTTTTTTCATTTTTGTAATATGAGATTTGGAACAATATATTTCATCACCTGTTTTGTTACATTTACATATCTCTTGTTTGATGAAAGACCGAAACTGATACTATAGAACTATTATTTGGGATGGTTGAGATTTTTGTTAATGTAAAGTTTATAACAAAATGTGATTTACTAAAATAGAGTTGTATTAATTTTTAATTTAATTTTGAAATACTTTCAGTTTAATTATTGAAATAAAATAAAATTAATTTTCGATTGTAAAATTAAATCATTCAATTTTTTCATTTCTCTGCAACAACTATTATCACCATTACTCCCTTGGTGATACCTTACGACCAGGTGTTACTAGTAACGATAATAATAATAATAATAATAATCTTTATTACTTTTATTTACATCACCAGTGGACTATCATTATTATGTCAGCCTTCATTACTGAATGAAAAAAAAAAGAGCAATATTTATACAATTTGAATTTAAAATTCATTATTAGATTTGATAAATTAAAATCATAAAATTTTAAATTGAAGAAAGCGTTAGCTAAATAAAACAAGATAGATCTAATAATAAAACAAATAAAAAGGAGAGACTCAATTCTAATAATTTGAACTTGACTTAGCCTATTTTTACTCTTAATAAATATAATAAAAATAAGAGGATGGTTATAATATCCTAATACATACGCTAGACTCAAATTTTATACAACTTTGTTTATTTTTCCTTTTAAAATTTAAACTGTGATAAATGTAATGGAAAAAAAAAAGTGTACAAGATAGATCTATAAGAAAACATAGGTTGAAATCATTAAGGGTTAAAACTTCAGTCACAAACATATGTTTACTTTTTTTAAAATTAAGATGAATAATTAAAAAAAATTATAAAAAATATTAAATAAAAATATGATAAAAATATTTTTAAATAAAAATACATTTTTTAAAATATTGAAAATTAACTTAAAAAACTGAAATTAATAAAATCATAAACTTTAAAATAAATCCTCAGCCAGGAGTTTCCAACTGGTTTAAATACCTTTTTAGAATTTGGTTTGCGGAAATTGTCAAAGTGGGATAAAGTATATTGAAAAGAAGAAGAAAAGAAAAAGCAAAGGAAAAGCACACCTAAATCTGGATCAGAGGAAAACGATTCTAGCAGATTGCAATCTATCACAGCGTCTAATTCACTATAATTCTAGAATTCCATTATACAGTGGAAAACTTTTGTAAAGAAATACCGTCTAAATATTTTAAATAGTTTTAGCAAATAATAACTCATTTTTAAAGTCACAATTTGTTCATAATTTATAATATGATAATGTCCTTAAGAAATAATTGGGGTTTGCGGGTCCCTAGGATTCTCATGCATGTATTGACAAATTATTTTTCGTCTCTAATTTTTGTAAAATGCAAGTAAAAGAAAATTCAAACACAGCTAAGACATTGTGCTAAAAATCTTGCAACTTTTGGAGTGAACATTTTTCAATGCTTTTTTAAACGCACTGAAGGAAACGTCCAAATAAATATGAACCCTTTGATCTGTTTTTTTCATTATTTACAGAAGAAAAGACATAAACAACATATAAATTCCAACACAAAACGAAAGTAAAGATGCTTTTGCAGTTTCTTAATGCAGTTAAAGCGACAAATAATAAAAATGATGACTGCCAGCTCAATATTTTACAGAAGTATAAGAAATCAAGAACTGATCAAATTATTGATAGCTTTATTAATTGAGTGGACATTTAAATCTCGACCAGTTTTGCTAAATTGTCAAGTTAAAATATATAATAAATGGTATTTTTATATATTTTAAAAAATATTTTGTATCAACTTATTAGTTGAATTTAAAGTTTTTATAAAATATTTTTATTAAATTTTATATAATTAAAAATTTAATTAATAGTTTATGTCTTTCTTTATTTTAAGGTATAATATGTTATTTAAAATATAAGTAATGAATATTATTAAATTAAATCTTTTGAAATAAATATTTAATTTGTGTAATATTGAGTCCACTTTTATGCCATGGATATGGGACCTATATTTTCTATAGACAGAATTCTTGCATTTATCATCCAATGGCTTATTTTTTTGGGTATATAAATTTTATTTCAGTTTAAAAGTAAGATAATAGTTAGAGAATTATAAAAAGTTGACTGTAAGAAACTCATATTCCCTACATATGAAAGTTGTCCTCGCCAATGTCTCATAATTCCCGTTGTCATAATCTTCTATACAGCTTGCGAGAATAATAGATTACAGTAGTTACATAAGAAGAGAAATATTACCAACTTGCATGCAATGAAAGAATAATAATGATGGGAAAATGGGTACAAAATATAGTGGGAGATGGGGTCTGCTTAATCCAAGAGCCATGTGGTAGAAAGAATATGAAAAAAACGAACAAAACAAAAATAAAGCTCAAATTTCAGCCAAATTGAACTTCGTTGAATTCTAAATTGATGTATATTAAACGATTCTTGCCATTCTTGATGACTAAACCTTTTAGGAGGTCCACCAAATTGTTCTCTCATTTAGAGTTATTTATACATTGAACTGTAATTGGAAAGGTTCCTACAAATGTAAGTAAAATGAATGAATCATACATTTAATGATTTTTCTGTCAAGTTCTCTAATCAGTAATCAATGTTGCTCATCCTAACTCAGATCGTACAAGGCTCTTGTTAATTCACCAAACGCTTGGACCAGTGGTCACGGGACCTTTAAATTGTTGAATGTCTCACCTTCACTTTACCCACAGTTGACGAGTAATTCGAGAGGAGAATATCATAAATGGAGAGAAACGTGTCGTGCTTTGTCACTGTAATATGACTCGTTGGAACAACAGTGTGCGGCAACATTTTATAGAGATTTTGAATGGCTTAGGTGACGTGTTTGAATCCACGTGCCATTGAGATTTTTGCAGTTTTGCATATACGATAGTAATTAAACGCTTTTAACATAATAATCAAACCCGTTAACCAAATTTTGGTTGAACTACTGATCTATAAGACAACTAGTTTAGTTGGAAGCGTCAAATTAAAAAAAAATTAGACATTAAAAATATATTACACCTCTTTTATATCAATGTTAATTACTGGATAATTTAAAAAAAACATTTAAATTTTTAAAAATAAAAAAAATAAATCATGTATAAATTAAATCACAAAAATTAAAAGTATAATTGAGCCCAAATTATAAAAAGATGAATCATTCGAATGTTTGAAATGAAAGTGGACAAAACGTACCTGGACGGCGCGCCGGCGATAATTCATCCCATGGAAATATGGAATAAAGCACCCATAAAAGTAAAATGAATTTGGACGTGTTTTTGGTACCCATTCCATATTAGTTATCAGTCATATACAGCTTCGCCGACAGTACACGTCTGTTAATAATTTTTCAATATTCTACACATCTATTGAAAATGTTATTCATAACCTATTAAGTTAAAATTTTAGTTTTGACATAAATGTTTAGAGTCATACCTAAGATTTAATTTACGAGCCATGATTGCTTTTTTTCCTAGCAAATTACTTTTTCTGTCAAAAAATAATTAAGTTATTATATGACGTTGGAAATTTGGAATAGAACATTCTGATTAAAAGTTAAATGGACATTAAGACTACTGATTAAAAGTCCAAATTCTTGATTGATGGATCGTGAGAACCCTGATCTGTGGTGCAGGTTCTTACATGGGTAACAAGGAGGAGTAGGAGCAGGAGCATAGAGGCTTGTAGGCAAAACACATTGGACTGAACATTGATTGTCAATTGGATTAAGTCACAGGTGAAATCAGACTAGCAAGTTGCTGTTCAACTGCCTTCTGACAATAAATAAATAAATAAAGAGATTAGATTGCCTTAAAAAAAGGTAAAAGGAATGAGCATTGCACATCCACTGCTCTAGCTACCAGACGCCATGCAACGAACACCCTGAATCTTCAAGGTGTTTCATATGAGCCAGTGTGGAAAACATGCAAGACCCCTTGCCAGTAATGAAGTTCTCTGGTCACAACTGTACAGACATTTAATACACACACAAAATCAATGAGTTATAGCAATCGATGATAGCCGAGGTAAGTATGCTTCTAATAGCTAATCAAGAATGCGTACGACGATCGACGAATATCTCGTACCTTTTTCATTTTGCTACACCTTTTGTTCACAAGATAGAATTTCACTACGTGTATCACGCACCTCAAGCCATCATCAATGTTTTTTTTTAACAAGTCATCTTGTCACCAAAACAAATAAAATCAAAATTCAATACAAGTTAAACCATTTAGTTTCATTAACTGCATAATTGTTGGAGTGTTTAGAAGGAAAAAAATGTTAGCACACTCATTTTAATTTTCTTTATTGTTGGGTGAAATCTAAACGAGAAGTTAAGCTCACTATTAAATAAAATCTCACAAATATCATCAAACAATGTGTTAGAGTTAGTAGACCTCATATTAGGCTTGGTAATACTACTACTGTAATTAATATTAATATGAAAGGCAAACGCAAAGATAACACTTTGCATTGAGCTATGTTAGACACCAGGGCTGAGCTCATCGGTCCATGCCTGCCATTAATTTACAATACGGAACATTAATGCTCAAATACTTAACCCCAAAAAACCAAAGAAATATTAATGCTAAGCAGAATTACCCTCACTATACACTTCATTGATTTTACGTCGACTGATTCTTTTTTTCTTTTGGGTACCAAAATACATCAATAGCCGCGTGGAACGCATTCCTCTTATCAAAATAATTTCAGAGAAGTTTGACGTGCTTTTGCCTGGGATATATATTTTAAGTATTGTCAACTATAACATTAGTATGCCTCTTTACATTTTCTCACTTTGTATGGGTCAGCCTCTGTGAACTATTTCCCTCGGCGCAACAAGGGAACGTGAAAAACTCTACAGCTATTTGAATAGCCAAAGAGGGAGGGTATAAAAAGGGCAGGGGCAGATTCACCCAACCGTCTAAAATAACTCGTATATATTAGTTTGTGCTGAATATGTCAAGCACCACTAGCTTCTGAATCATTCTGCAATTTGCACATTTAAAACTATAGTCAGGCCAGCTAAATTAAATGTTTACCAATAACAAAAGATGAAACAATTAGGGCAAATTATATTTAAAACTAAAGCAAAATTGCAGCTGATTCCTCTTCCTTTTTTGGATCCTACACAAACTTTATCAATTGAATTAACACCATAACGTGTCTCTTCCCATTAACATAAACCACTACTAATTTGTTAACTACGGGAGGTCTGTGTATGGTTTAAAAAGGAGGGATATATATTGGGTGCAATATTGCTTAAGTTCAGGAAGTATGGATATAAATATAATTTACCTCTGTTTCTTGCAAAAGATTTTCAAGTTCAACAGTTATCTCATTAAAGGATGGACGGTTGCTTGGAATTGCTTCCCAACATCTTTGCATCAAATCCAATAGTTTAGGGTGCCCATGCTTTGGAAGTTCTGGTCGCAGTCCCTGCAAGTATGTACCACATAACAGCTGGGTAAGACACAAAGTGGACACTCCTAGTTGAACACTGCAACTTATACACACACCCAGTAGCATGAATATAGGTTCAATTTTAACTTCTACTGCACGTATGCTATCATAAGCATGCATTCACTGAGCTAGCATTATTATTTCTGTGATAAGAAAAAAAAAATAAAAAATCCTTCACTGAAGCTATATTTGTTGTTGACATATTGAAGCTAAAAAGTTTATAGTTCACTGTCCAATAGAAAAAATAAATTGAAATGCTTGCACAATTACAACTTGATGCTCGACACCTCTCATCTTTAACATTCTTTTATTGAATATAACCTATGGCTTCTATCATGTTCGCTTTATGACTGTCAAATTAATTCAGCATTTATCTCTTCCAAGTATAATACATTAGATATGATATAAGCAATTACCAAAAACTATTAGTGAGAAAAGCAGATTGTAAAGTAAGTCAAGTCACGTTAACTTAATGGCAAAACTTACTCATGCCATGGTATGCTCTGTTAACAGTCAATATAGTTATTTTCAAGAATAAAGTACCAAGAGGCATTTGCACAACCAGCATGAGGCATAAATACATCAACAATTATTGATTTACAAGTTACTTTGGTTGATAGGAAAAAGGAAAAAATAAAAAAAATTCTATTAGCGAACCCAGTTCAAGATTTACAAACAAATGGAGCAATAAGGTACAACATTCCAAAGAAGAGGTTTGTGCTGTGTATGGTGTTGTCAAGCAGATTTACACCAATAATTTATTGAGGTTTCAATTTTATGCATCAAACGATATGCTTGAACATTCAAATCTCATTAATAAATAAAGAGCAAACCTGTCTCACACCCAAGGCAGCTTGTAGTGGAGTCATGGTATCATATGGCACCTGAATACCAGAGATGAAAAAATATTGTTTTTACAAGGCTTGACATCTAAAATATCAGATAGTTCAAGGAATGGGAATGAAATATAATAAGAGAATACAGTACTATACATCCAATTTAGGCTATACCTTTGCAGTCATTAGTTCCCACAGTACAATGGAAAAACTGAATACATCTGCTTTCTGATCATAGGGCTGATGGTTTATAACCTTGTGGGAAAATCAAGTAACATTAAGATACTGAAAGAAAACTAGAACAAAACAAAAATATTACATGGTAATTGCATCTAGTGATAATGATAAATCTATAGAAAAGAAATATTGTGTTTTCATTTCTTCTGCTTATTTCCTTCCACTCTAGCTTAGGTTTAGGAAGAAAACAAGTGGAGAGAACGTAAAATGTCTATTATGACCATTAAGATTAAAGCTTAAATTATTGAAGATGACAAACAAACAAGCATCATATTTTCTCCTATTTGGCTAACTCAGAAACGGCTACGAATTTTTTCACATTACCCAGCTGACACTTTGTTATGAGTATCAACTTCTGAATTCTAATTAGCCTCAAATAGTTTGCAGGCGTATTGAGGACAATTTCATAACAGAATTATAACCATTTCTTTGCCGTAATGTGTGAACACCAAGGATATATATTTGTATATAATTATTATCAGATAGGATTGGATTTATGTTCTTACTTTGGTGCTGACCAAATGCCAAGGTTTCTTTGATTAAGGGAGTCTCATTGACATATTCTCAGAGAAATTAGAGAGCTCTTCTATATTAATATATGTTTCTTTTCCCAATGCTTCTTTTTCTAATTGTTGCTCAAAGATAATATATATATATATATATATATATATATATATATATATCCTTATTCTTTAGTACCCTTCTTTCCTCCTAATAAAATTTCCTCTTTTATCCAATAAAGTATAAACAAAAAGACATAAAAAAGTAAACAGAAATATAAGACAGGTAGGGTGGAGTTGGGGGAGGGAAGCTCAAGACCAAATACCAATATCCTACTTATGCAAAAAAGACGTTGATACAACATGGCAGAAAACATTTAATAGAAAGAAATCAGAAATCTGAGCACAAAAAACTTCAACGCTTTTTTTTAGGTTGTACCATTTTGGAAATATCACAGCACAAAATATGCATTCTCTTCATTAGATGTACAAATTTGTTTCTGAAGATAAATTATTGTAATACTAATAGAATCTGTCATGGTTTATGCTGAAACAGAAAATACAAATTAAATTTGCAGAGGCCAATATAAAAGTCTCTATAGAATCAGTTAATTCAAGTAGTCAGCAAAAAGAAACCTTTCATTGTTATTATAAATTATTAATAGCCCAGCACCCCTGGCTTTACAATATCTATTATTTAGCGACTAACATCAATATGAAAACATCAAAAAGCACGACAGTTTCTTTTTCCTTTTCAAATAACAAACCTCAGGTGCCATCCATCTATAAGTTCCAGTTTCTGCCGTCATCACTCCCCCCTGATTTAGGAACCGAGCAACTCCAAAATCTGCCACTTTAACAACCTAATTGGATAAGGGAAAAAAGATATTAATTACTTTTAAGAAATAGAATTTTACAAAAATACATATATGCAACTCCAAAACAAAATAAATGATATAGTCAATCACATATAGAAAATTTAAGACATTCAGCAGCAGCAGTTCACAAAAATAACAGGCTAGTCATTATCCATAAATATATTATGATATGAAAACAGAGTGCAATATTTCTGAAAGTTTTATATTTGCCACAAATTTCGTATTATGATTTCAAAAAATACTATTTGTCATGACCATTGGGTGAACCGTATGTCAACTAAACTCTTGTACTATAATTATAAAAATTTCATTATTTATTTTACTTCCCACAAATTATTTAGAAAAGCTGTGGGTAATTTGTCTCACAATTACAGAAACAATAAAGCACTGAAATAAATTTATTGGGTTAAAACTACACACAACCAAAGACAGTTGCATAGATCTGGTTCATTAAAGTTTCTGCATACAAGGTAACACCCATTTAAGCAGCGGTAATGTTGTATACTAGTATACAGTAGAAATTTGCAGTTTCAAACTTTCAATAAATTCTTACATTGTGTGTATCCATCAGCAAATTGGCAGTCTTCAGATCCCGGTGAATTATGTTGTTTCCATGTAGATACTCCATACCCTTGCAGACATCAACTGCAAATTTTAGTAATTGAGACAGCTCCAAGACATTATGATTTTTGTGCAAGTAATCATACAGACTTCCTCCAGGCATATACTCTGCACAAAAGAACAGAACTTCTAAAATATATTTTGAAAGATTAAATTGAAAGAAAAGACAAATTAATTATTAAACAATAATTGGGAAAGGAGACCAAGGTGCAGTTTTTCAAGGAATCAATTTATGAATCCCTAAGCTTAACATAAAGTTAGCTATTCAAAGCCAAATATATGCCTCGAAAAAAATTTGAACTAAAATATTCTTCCATATATTTGAACACACAAAAGGTCCAGAAGTAGTATCACATGTTGAAAAAACGAATACGACATATAACACCAACAATATAATGATGTATCATATGATATGAATAAAGACAGTGAAGCAAAACTCTCAAGCAGGGAAATAGAGAACGATGCTGCAGACTGCAGTCCCAGTTAATTTAACTATTTTTGTTTCACAGCCAATGTCATTAGGAGGAATTTAAAGCACAAATCATTGGTAGGTTGAGTTCACTAGAGTTGATGAACAATGTCCACAAGTGTACTAGTTCAGCATCAATACATAATGGACATTATACTTGCACTGACTCAGGTAAAGGGTAATATAATCCTACATTCACATCCAAACACTAAGGAGGATATTCTCCCCAAGGTATAATTGGCTAATGACATGAATTGGTGAAAATGGATCAAATTGTAATTGATTCAGACCATTTTTCTTGATATAATAAACCAGTTATACAGAAGAAGATTTCCTTAGTCCCAGGATCCACACTCCCACAATTACAACAAAGGAAGATACATTTGCATGACATCTAGAAATATTCTAAGTCCTGAAACATTGATTTGCACTATGAACAAGTCATATTGAAAATGTTGCAATGACCAATGTTTTGAGCTAATAAATCCCCTGAAAAGTGCAAAATGATGAGCATATTAGCACAAAGTTAAAGTGATCAGGAGAAAAAGCATACTACTCAACCAAAAGGCACTAGACATTTAAAACAGACAACAGTTAAACTTGCAAGGATCCTAATAATAAATCCTGCAAGATAACTTATTAACCCACAAGAGTAGGACTAATTGTATATCATGATCAAACAATTCATGTGTCAAAGGAAACTAGACCAACATTGACAGTATTGCAAATACAACTATAATAGACCCTAGATCACAAGCTTTGGACGCATTTGCCAGTGTCATCAATCAATGCAATCCATCAAACGTTAAATTGTAAAGTTTTTATCATGCAAGTGTGATGTATACAGTGTACCTGCATAACTTAATTATATTATTATAAAGGATGTTATAATATAAATGTTTAAAATTGAATAAATTTATTTCTTTAAAATAATAATCAATAATATGACTAGACTCTACCAGGAACAAATATTTATTTAATGAGAAAATATTGTTCAAAACTAAATTGTATCTTTTGACTAAAATGTGTATTAACCAATATTAAAAACTGAACAAAAATAGAAATTATTTGTAATTAAGAATTGTAAAGGAAAAAATAATCTGAAAAAAAAAGCATGTATAGAAATATTATAAAATACATTTAATAATAGTACATGGGGAAAAAAGCATTAATTACATTTTGAGAGATATGTGCCAAAGAAAAAAAAACAAGTGGGTGCAGCCTGATACATATCATGTATCTATAAATATTGCACTGTTGCACAAATCTTTGGCAGTCAAGTAAATCACACTATGCATTTATTGTGATATTTAACAATTTATATGGAGTGAACTCTTAATCTGCAATTTCAAACAATCTTGGCACAAATTAACACCACCATGGTGCAGAAAGTGCCATGTTCATTGACCTTGTGCAAAATCTTTTGATCTCAAGTAACACCATGAAATTTTCACAAAAAAGGTGAAAGAAAGGATTTTAATTGTAAAAGAATAAATTGCACTTCATTACTTGAGGTTTGTCAAAATGATAGAACTTAATAAAAAATTACACTTAACCCTATTATTTAATCTTTGACTAACTAGAATATTTCAATCCCCTGCTATTTCATATGAGTAACTATCCAATTCCATAACAGAAAGAGATGGGAGTAGAGCTTAAGAAAATTCATTATTACTAATAGTTAAATATTCATTACTAATTTGTAAAAAAAAAAAATATTATTTCCACTTACAAGACACATTAAAATTTTAAATATTTAATTAATTTTGAAAATCAATTTTTTGTCAAAATAATTTGAAGTAACATAATACTAAATATTATCATTAAGCAAACAAGAAAAAACAAAATGAATAACTTTTCAAGTTCCTCTTAGCTTTATGTTTTGACCAATACTGTATAATACTTCAACTCCAAAGATCCTTCCAAATCAAATGAACTACAAAGGACTTTACCCAAGTTAATAGGTATGTTCTTATTTTCTTATGTCATTTCATTGTTAATTAGTATTATGAATAGTTATAATAGACTTATTAGGATTAAAATTTATGTTAGTATTATAATAATAGGCTTGATCCAGTAAGTTTACATATGTATCCTTATAAATATAAAAGTCTCTACATATTGCAGAGCATCCAATTCCAGCATATTACTCTCTCTCTCTCTTTCTCTTAATTCAACATGGTATCAAGAGCCTCCTAAGGTTCTTCCTTCGTTGCCACCACTACTGCCGTCGCAAAAAAAAAAACAGCAACTTCAAAAAAGGCTGACCATGGCTGCTGTGAGGATGAAAGTTTCTTTCAATAACTAGAATATGCAGCAATTCGACGTTTACAGTTTGAGTGCGGCATTTCTTTCTAGCCATTGAGACGAAAGTTAGGCAGTTCAATCTTTGTTTGGGAATATACAATGTCTAAACGTGATAACCTGAATGTTAAGCTGGATGGAGATGGTACAAATTATATAAAGTGAAAGTATTTGGTTGAGATTAACTTGAATGGAATGAGAAAGTAAAACGGCACTTGTCAATTCTAAGGATGTTAACACATGGACGATACGTGACACATGTATAAAACCAATACAATTTTTGTGGGAAAAAATCTTTAAAATAACCAAAAAGAAAATTTTTAAAAATTATGACTATCAATGTCAAATTATTTGTCCAAGTCATTATAAATTCTTTATATTTCAGTTTACATAAAAAAATTTATCTTAACTACATAAAACATTTATCAATAAAGGATCGCTTATTGATTACATATTAAATAGGATAATATAAAGTGATATATCTGTAAAACCAAATGGATAGATCGATACCTGTTACTATGCACAAATGTGGGCAATTTGTACATGCACCAATAAAACGAACAACATTTTTATGATGCACCAGCCTGCATTCAGGGAATAGTAAGGCAAATGGACAGAACTTAAATGACTGAGTGAGAAATACATAAACTATACTAAATAATTTTTTAAAAGGTTAATATACAGGTACAACAAAATATAATTATTTTTATAAGTTGCTTGTATTTTATTAATATATTTTCTAGATTTCTTTATTTTTTAATATAGCTAATATTTATATCAGTTTGCTGTCATCATCATATTACAGTAGTCCTGAATCTTTTGAAAAATTTATTAAGAAAACATATAATCAAATTTAAAGAAAAACATTATATGCAAGTTATGATACTAATTCCTTAATTATCCAAATAAAAAATGTATATTGAAAAATTTTAAGATAATGCAATCAAATTTTGGTAGCAAGGCAGCCGTACACATTAAATATCCCTGCATTATAGAATGTATTTGATCTTTAAACATATGTCCTAAAGATATCTAATTAAACATTGCAAGACTAAAAAAAAGCAATGACAAGATAAACTAAGTAACGGAAGGGGGAATCCTAGTGTAGAAAATATCAATTAAGAATAAGCAGTTCTATGAATGTTACAACTGATGTCAATTGTCAGAAGTTTCTAGTAGAGTGACATCCAAATCCTTGAAGGGTTAACCAAGTGATCAATTGTAACGATGCAGCCAACTAAGCAGTTAATTGAGATTGATAGTTTTGTAGCATGCTACACCACTTCTTAAGACTTGGAACTCAAGTTGATATTTCAATCAATCCTTTACCAATTAAATATTATTCCTCTAGAAAATGAGAAATAATCAAGCTTAAAACAAATTATATTGTGGTTCACACAAGAACAAATGTTTGATAATAATCATAAGAAAGATTAATCAGAAAAAACATATTATGCACCATGCAGTTTAATCTTACACAATGAGTAGCAAAATACCAACCTCAGAATTGCCACTTCTTGAGTAAACTCGTCTTCTAAGGCCTCATTCAGTTGGTCAGATCTCAGAACCTTTACAGCAACATCTTCACCAAGGTAAACTCCACGATACCTTAGAATGGATCATATAGCCATCCAAAATAAGATAGATAAATATTTATGACATAGAGAAGAGAGAGAAAAAAGTTATAATGAAAAACAGAATTAATGGTAAAACAAAACAACTCACAAATCTCCACAGGATCCAGATGCTATTTTTTCTCCTAACTTTAGCAACTTCCTGTCTATTTCCCAATCTCCTGATTTTCCTTCTGCTGCTAAGACTTTCTCCACAGCTGAATGAGAATTTGAAGATCGAGACCATGAACCCTAGAGTAAGGAAGGATATTGATTACAACCTTATAGGTCTTGATTATAAAGTTAGCATAAAGAGCAACAAACTAAGAGTTTACTGAATCCCAAAAATTTGAGGTAAAATGCAAATTAATATTGATTACAACCTTATACTATCTGGGACACTGGTACTCAATAAATTAATATTAACAATGTATTACAAAGTCATAGGTGGCCTGACAAGGTTCCTTACTCCTAACATTTATGTTAAGTGTTTTGGCAGATTGGACGACATATTTTTAACAGAGGTGGCTTGGCAGCTTTGGAATAGACATTTCAGCATTTTTTTATCAGCAGTGAGTTTATCCAGCTTCTTTTGATCATTTTTAAATTATTCAAAAAGGGCTTTGGCAGCAGAAAGGAGTGTAAGATCTTTTTGCAATGGTGGAGGTTTTGCAGGTTTATGTTGTACACGGTGGAAGCAAAACACGAGGGTATTAATAAGATATTTCTGGCTACCTGAAATTTTGGCAATGGAGTACTAAATTTTGGTGTCCCTGGGGGTATCAACTATAGATAATATTTTTCAAGGAGCAGTTGGGGCAGGGTGTGTTCTCCAGTGGATGTGCAGATGGTCAGTTGCTTTCTCTAAATCAATTGTTCTTGACCTTTATAAGGTTGCTGGCCAGGGAAATTGCAAAACTAAAATTTAACAGCTTAGCAGGATATATGTGAAGTGTTAGTTATCAGTGGTCTATTGCTCCATTTCCAGTTTTCCTCCCCTAGAGCCCATCATCATTAACCATGTTCAAGGAAATTAGAGTTATTACAATTTTTCTTAAGTACATTCCGAGAAATACAAGACAGTGAACATCAATAATCAATCATTTATTCTTCAAAGATACATTTCCAACATTTCACAAAACCAACTTATAAATCTGTATATACAAAGTCAAGGAGACACAATGCACCTCACTTCTTGCTACAGCTTTTTCCATAGCATCATACAAACCATCTGTTTCCTGAGCACAAGATTGCAAAGTCAGCGACATTTGGACTCAGCACAGATCCCTGTCATGAGAGAAATATAATAACAATGCTCCTTAATAACCTACAAGCTTGACTACTGATATACACCTTTTTTTGTCTGAATTTAAGACACTGATAAGAAAATATTATTTATAAATAATTATGATGCGGGTGCAATATTTGTGGGCATAGATAATCGTCTTCGCACCTGATCTGTCATCATAGCTCAGACAATGGTAGTAGAGTTCAACCACCGAGTACAAAATTGTATAATCAATGAAAGAGTTATAAAGTGTTTGCAGCAACACAAATGCCGCAGTAAAATTAACACCAATGTTCAATGAGAGGTTTCAAAGATACAACTTTCCAGAGGTATTCAGAGGAAAGAAAATGGCATCAAATTCATCATAAGCAGCACTTTACCTCTACTGGCCATCCATCCACCACAAACACATCAAGGGAATAGCCATCAGTTGTGGAGAAAACATGTGCTTCACGGATGTTAAGTCCAATATCAGACAGCAAAGCAGACAGCTAAAAGAAAATAATATCCGTCACAAGAAATCATGCTATCCACAATTATATTCTAAGGTACTAACACACTAGAACCTCCACTTGATTATGTCAACTGAACGAAGCTATGTTTACAGTTGATAGAAAGGAAAGGACTGATTTCCACCCTCAAGCTTCCATGTAAAACCCACTCTAGTTTTTCAGATTACAACCTTGAGCTCTTTTCTACTCAATGTTTTTGGATTATGCAAGAATACAGGAACATTCAATTATACAAATCACTTGTCAGTATCAAGAGAATAATGATACACAGCAGAACTGTGCGATAAAAAATTGGTATCCAATATCCCACATAAACTTTTAACTTTCATATAGCTTCTATTGGCTCCATTTTATTTTCATATGAGTCATATGACAAGTTGACAACATACTCCGAAACTTTTTAATAGACCTCTAGTTATCAAATACCTTAATTTTGAGGAAAGTTTATGTTTCATTCCACAAATAGGTTAAATCAATAGACCTATGGAAAATAAACCTCCATATTTTGAGCACTGTAGATAAAAACTTAGCTCATTATCTTTTGGAGCTTCAAACTTCTCAATTAATTTAGAAAACATGTAAACTAAATAATAAAGAACACATAAGACAAAATTTTCAAACATACCTGGCTTAACAGCTTTGGCTTGTCAACAGTGGAAAATATTATTTCATGAACTGGGACACTTGAATGTTCATGCCTGCGTTATACATTGTAATGTTTAACTCATTCACCACAAGCAAAGATATCTAACTATTCAGATAATTTGCCATGCAAGTAATACTTCCTTTTCAAGTATGGTAAAACATGTATCAATAAAGACTCAAGATCAAAAGGTCCAATTCCTCAGACAACATAGAAGAAATGTTAAATTCTATCAGTCATAATAATGAATATATCCCAGAGCTGAAACTCTTAAATCACATAAAAATACAACTCTTTTCTTTACTTAAGATACATGGATGGAAATGAGAAAATGTTCTAGCCACATCATTAAGAAAATATGCTTTTTGCTACAACTGCAATATACAATGCATCCAACATGCCTTTCTTCTTCAACTTGTAGTTTCCAATTCTAATAGATTTTATTTAGTATAGTATATACATTAGTTCCATAGATTTTGGCAATAGGTACAGTGCTACTTTCCTGCTCTCCAAAGAGGGGAAAAAAATGCATCCGTGGGTGCCAGTTAAGATGGAAGCTGTTATATAGCTATTTCAAAAATCAAAAGAAAAAGTAAGAAACAGCATTATAATTTTATTCAGGTGGTACCTCTGGAAAAACCCGTCATTGAGAAATTTTTCCTCTGTCTCCTTGGAGTTCTTTCTAACATCCAAATTTAGGTCCTCGAGCTTCGAGCAAGGCTCAAACTCATTTGCAAGATCCCTTGTCATACTGATAGGAATTATTAAATCATAGATTACAAAAGAGATAGAATTGATATTTAAGCAACAATTACAGGAAACCTTCCCCTAAAATGCATGTGCATATGTATGATATACTTCACAGTTCACTGGTTTGCATACCTCTTATCTGATGATACAGCTCCCCCATTTGTTGCGTGAGAAAATGACCCAGGGCTAGAATGAGTACTTAAAATTTGTTGATCTTCACCATCAGGTCGAGTAGAAATATTCTGCCCAGTAAATTGAAAGGAAAGAAAATTTGGTACACAGATGAAAAAAGAAAGAAATATGACAGCCTCATTACTTAAATGAAAGAAATCAGGTAAGTGTAAAGAGAACTACTATCAAAATTGAAAAACATAATTCATTTAAGAAGAGGTCAAAAATAAATGTTTTAGAGAGAAACTTGGGGTAGCACCTATTAAGAAAGCCAATAAAGGTCCCATCAAGAATAATTTATTAGATGGAAGTCAGCCTATTATTAAACCTGTGTAGAGGAAGACCAAGGACGGGAAAATCAACAGATGGAAAATACTAACAATATGCGTTTGAGTGTTCAACCGTGAGTGTGTGTGCAAGTTAGGAGAGAGCAGGAAGTAAAACTTTTGCAGAGAATTCTCATAACAAAGAAGCAAAGACACTTAAACAAGTAATCTAATATAGTTTACCTGTTGGATAGGCATCTAATATTCTTTATATATATTTAAAAAAAATCTAAATACCAAAATCAATAGCATATATGTTCTTCTTCAGTGCTACCATCAGCAACAAACACAGTAACTTTAAGTATACACATATATCCCCCAAAAGATTAAATTCATTGGCTGTATGCACATATTAAGATGCCATCATAACAGCATATTTACTTACAGGATTCATCATAGTTTTATTTTACGATAATAATAGAGCAACCTGCTTCTGTATTTTGTACTATCTTGTTACTTCAAGGCTAGGTTACATAATTATATAAAGATACTTTCTTAATTTTGGGATTCATTCATAATTATGTCTTCAGGTTATATAATAATTATTGATACAGCCACCAACATAGATCTAACGCTTAGCAAAACCAATCCCTCCATGCATGTACCCATGGGCAATGCCATATAACACACTCTAATCATCTCTTTTTTTTTTTTGGGTGGGGGTATTAACAGAACCAGTGTGACTTCTAGTTAACCATGTTTTCCTTCACAAGTTTAGGAAAGATGAAACACGGACACAAAATTCCCAAAAAAAATAATAAGACAAAACATTATTTAAAAAATAAACACAAAAATATGGAACCGAGGAAACTGTTTGAAGAAAGATCCAGTTCAATCAATCATAAACGAATCTAACCTAGTTCAAGATAGCAACATAAACGAATTACATGAAGTTAACCACAGCCAAATAAACAATTACTCTCTATATTAGGAATGAAGGTTAAGAGTGATACCTCCATGAAGCGAATATGGTAAACAGGGCGTTTGTCTGGATCTCTTGCCAAAGCAAGAAGAGTCTGATGCAAAAGAACATCTTCAGCTCTATCGATATTAACATCGAGTCCATAACTGAAACAACAGCAACAGATTCCACACTTTGTTTAATGACTTCATTTGCATACTCCTCAAAATCTGCTACCAACTCAAATCTTAGCCTAGAAATCGAAATCCACAGCACGCATCCAAATACAATAATCCAAAAAATAGAATAAAAATTGAAGCGAGAGAGAGAGAGAGAGAAGCAGCGTCGGAATTGATGAACCTTGGAGGCAAGCGATTGAAGTGAGCTTCCAAGTGTTCGCGAAATTCGGGATTCGAAACGGCTTGGTCGTGACCGGTTTCAACCAAGCGATTGTAAACGTCGTTCCTCACGTCGTAGTTGCTGTAACCGCTGAAGGTGCGTGGAGGCGAGGAGCTCTCTCCTACGCCTTCGACCAAATCCATTGCCGCACCGTTCGTTCTTTGCTTCAAGGTCGCATGGCGGGGATGGGATGGGATTGCGTGCAGAGAGAGAGAGGGAGGTCCTTAGAGTTGACTGTTGTAAGAATCTGAGTGGAAAAGGAAGGGAAAGGTTTCGTTATTTCAACGGAAGATTGAGGGCAATTTCGTCCACCGTCAGGTTGCCCCTCAGTTCAGACCCGAGAGCGAGATTTTAGGAAAGCTAAACCGAACAGGAGAGAAAGAGATGGTAGTTACGGATGTCGCTCCTCTTATGGCATTTAACTGTTTATGGATAATTTTTTAGGTTTCTTTTCTTATTACTATCATTATTAAAAATATTAATTTTAATTTTCAAAATTAAGTTTAAGTAATTAGATTTGTTTAAAAATGTTTTTTAAAATGAATATTTATGATAACACGTTAAGAATATATATATATACATATATATATATATATAATAAATTTATATTAAAATCACAGCATATCATAAAATTAAATACATTAACGATAATATATCTTATAAATGTTAATAAAGTTTGACTCTTTATTATTTTTTAATTATGTGCTCAGTTCACGTTAATTATTTTTTATCTCGACGTTCACGTTAAAATTCAGAAAAACGAAAGCCAATTCTCAAACCAGAAAACAAAAGCCCAAATTGGCCCCGAAAACACTAAACGTAGACTTTGCAGGCCAACCCAACAAACGAGCATTCACCTCATTTTCGTATGAGACCACAGCCACTAAGCCCAAATGCCTAAAGCTGACCCATTTTTAGAAGAAGCCATTGCCATTGCTTGTTTTGGTAACTCGTGGGTTGCGATTCGAGATTGTGCGTCGGGGTGGGTCCGAGATATTCGTAAGGGAACCAAAACAAGAAAGCACCAAACCCAAGATTCATAGTTCTTTAACAATAAGAAAACATTACATTTAAATAAAGTTTATATTCTTGACCCGAAAAAATGAAAGTTTATACACTCATCCACGAATAGCTCGCGTTAAAATAGTATATATATGGAAAAAAATTCATATGTAAGTATATAAAAACTCTTACATCTAATTTAAATTTTTTATTTAATTTATATATATATAAAGTAATAAATTATAAATATTAGATGTAAGTTAAATAAAAAATTTAAATTAAATATAAGATTTTAAATGAATGAAAAGATCTTATCTCATATACATATATATTCTTTTTGACATACAAATTAGGAACAATTATGAAAAAGAGTTATTAATGACATTGATCTTTAATACAAACCCTTAATAAAAGTAGTTTTTGGTTATGATAGTCTTACTTGGTAGGATGTTGCAATTTCTTACATAAATGAATAAAATTTTTTACATAATTTTATGTTTAATATTAGATAAATTTTATAATATCCTTAAAAAAATTTAAGATATTATAAAAAAAATTTCAACCAATAATATTTAGAAACGTATCTAAATGTAATAAATTTATTTAATAATAAATAAATTTTTTTATTAATTAGTCCCTCGTTTACTTCTAAGATGTGACATTCTTGCCTCAGTGGGTGTTGGTGGAATAGATCTCTAAGCTCATTTCGTCTCTCACTATATCCTTTCAAGCTTTATAGATTGTCCATTAACGATCCAATTTAGTATACCTATCAATCGGCATCATTCATCTTAAGTCTCCCCAAGCCCCTAAGTTGAATTCCAGGCATCATGGAGGTATGGTCTAGGTTTTACTACCTTTCTGGTATTCTATAATTCTTTCTTATCTTTTGACGGTGATAAATCTTACAAGTTGCATACGGTCTATTTCCTTCAAGAAGCTGAGTTGGCATAGAGTCAATGTAGGAGATTCGTGAACAAGTCAACCCCATTCCAAGCAGTAACAGCTTATTGCGACAGAGAGAGCTTCCAACAAAAAAAAGGAAAGCTCAATCCTATTTCGTGCTTTATAAGAAAGAACGTCATCAGTCCCAAAGCATATTGGATGCTCTCTTCTGATGCAATTCCTTTTACTAGTGTTGCCCCTTTGATTCGGAGAAAAGGTAACTAGCTAGATTAGTTAAATAGCAACGCATTCAATAGGAGCATTCGATGCCTATCTCTTTCCTCTTATTCTAAAATTGACTCTTCGTGGCCTTCCCTTGCCTTTGTACATCTATAACTGCTCTAAGCCTTAACTGGCTATTCAAAAGCCAGACTAATTAGTTTTGATAATTAGTTATAATCTCTTGATCTGTAAAGGCATATGCTACTACATGGATCGCTATTATTTAATTTTTAGTAAATAATATAATTTTAAAAAAATTATAGATAATAATATATATTTTTTGTACCTTGTACGTATAAAAAAAAAATTTAGAATAGCATGGGACACCTATAAGGTGAATTCTACTTTGACAGTGCACCTAGCAATACATTGAAAGAAAGAACGGCGAGAGATGCCACCTGTGGATATGTACCCAAATCAACATCACTTTTCACGGGCACCAAATATTATATTTTAGTAAAAGCCCATTGAAAGTATAACCATTTCTGGCCATAAGTTATTGGGATGCCCAAGTCTTGGTGGTGTTGTAATAACCAGTTTAGGACACATCAATGCCTTGTCTAGAGATATTGAATACATTGCTTCAAAAGATCACAATCACATTTAGTGGTGGCAGGCATGCTCTAATCTTCCTCTGGTATGCTCTCCAAGAAAGAGGTTTAATAGGACTCAAGAAACAAGAAGATAGGTGTATCCTAAATGCACGACACTTCCTAGATCAAATGCGCAAAGGTAACATTGGTGCAGCGTTTAATGAATTTAGTAGTAACTGTCTTAGAAAGGCCTTCGGATGATGAGTTTACACGCAGGTGGAATTTGGCGCGGGTGGCTGTGATACAGCATATCACTCTTGATGTTATAGATTACTTTGTTGTTGACTTTACCTTAAAAATACTCATTTGGTTCCGAGATGCACCGAGAAAACCTCCATGCATTGCAACGACATTGGTGTTGAAAATTGCATAATGCACACTCATGGGGGTCTTTGAAAAATATTTATGTAGTTGTTGCTTTCACTTTAAAAAATAAAAAATAAAAAATAAAATATATATATATATATATATACTGTTTTATAATTTTGTTAACATAGATTGACATTAAACATGTAAAAATAATATTTTTTTTTACTAAAAAATATACATTACATTAAAATATAAATGTATAATAAATATTTTTTTAATCAATGAAAAGTTAATAGTTTTATATGCTTAAAGCTAGTCTTAAGAACTTATATTAACAAAATTGATTATTTTATAATGTTAAATCGATGTTAATATTTGTTTTACTTATGTCTTGGAAAAAAGTAACAGTGTATAAAATAACAAAATGAAAAAAATAGAGATAAGATTAAACTACAAATTTCACTAATCTTAACAAAAACAAGGGGGTGATTTTTTAAAAATTTTCATCATTGTAAGTTTTTTATTAAATTTAGAGAAAAAAAAATCATGTTTACACACAAACTTTATTGCATTATCTTTTGTAACAAACAAAAAATACATTAATTCAGCTTTTATGATAAAAGAAAGAATGAAACAAATTCAAATTTAAATTCCTTTCACTTTATTTTTACCATATTAAGGTGGATATGAAAGTAATATAATAATTTTTGGGTGTGAAAAAAAAAAACCATAAATGTATTTTAAAAATGTGACTCTCTACCACGAGTTGATCTTATCTTTGTCTTCATGTATCAAATTATTAAGTTCTCAACAATAACATTAACATTAAATGTACTTGAAACACACACTTTTATTTTAACAAATTTGGTCTTTTCAAATTTCAATTTTTTTTAACAATAAATATTAAGTTGGCTCTTGTATTGAATAAAGATCAAATTTTGGTCTAAAAAATGAGTCTTTTTTTGCTCCTCCGTCTGGAACAACTTCAAAGCTAACTTGATGATTAATTATGTTTGTAAAATATAAAGTAAGAATGTATAATTTTATTCTTATTACATTCGTATTCAAATAGTTCCTTGAGATTAAGACTAATCCTTGACCTAGCTACACTTTTCTGGTAAAAAAGTCTGGACCTACTGCTTCTCCTACTTTTTTGTTTTGTCTTTAAAACTCTAGACCTGATAAGTAAGATAATATTTGTGTCACAAACAGCCTCTCTGCTAAACAAAACCATTAAAACCAAGATAGCCCAATTTCTATAAGAAAGAGCCCAAAAACCCAAAACAACCGATCTGATCTTATTTAATGGGTACCCAACAAATACAAAAGGTATCAGGAGCAAAAAACGTAATTCTGACCCACAAAAAAATATTATGTGTGCTTGGTTATATTCTGAATGAGCATAATTGTAAAATTCTTGTGATTTATCATCTTTCAATTTGTAAATGTCCTTAAATTTTTTGATTAATGATCATTAAACCACTTAAGACTTTGTTTGGGAGTTTAGAGGGGAAGAAAGAAGAGGAATTTGAAGAGAGAAGGAGGAAAAAGAGAGAGGGGGAAGGAGGTTAAACCCTTTCTTTATTTAGATGTTTAATATTGAGAGATGAGGGTGATGAATGATTTAATTATATAAATGATATTATATTTTATATATTTTATTTATATTTTTTATTTTTACAAAAAACAAATATTTTTCTTTCTCTAAAAATTAATAATTTAAAAATTAATATTTTTAAAATTATTTTTTTTATAAATATTTTTAAAAAACATCACTTGAAAAATTAACATTTTTTTTTAAAAAGTTAGAATCCTATTCATGAAAGAATGGGAGAGAGAAAACCTTCAAGATGGGGGAACTCAAAAAACAAGGGTTAATAGAGTTTTGAAGGGCTTAGAAAAACTCTCTAAAATCTTCTTTTCCTAATTAAGTAACTTCTAAACAATGATTAATCTCTCCTAACCTTTCTCTTTCCCTCATCTCCTCTCCTAAACACAACTTCCAAACATAACTTAAAAGAAAAGGAAAAGAAAACTTTTGTTTTCCATCTTCTATTTTACGACTCATGCAAATGCAAAGGAGGTGAGAAATAGAGAAGATGGAGTTCTAGTTGTGAACCTTGCGATGATGGTGGTTGGGTCAGTGTGGCTGCTCCATATGGAGGACACGATTGGATGTGGAGATATTGAAGGGAAGGTTGGGATAAAAATGGTGAAAGAGGAATAAAGCCAGAGTTTTTTTTTTGGCACATAAAATTTTGAAAGAGAAATGATATTCCATTTCATGGTAACGAAAACTCTCATATTCAAACAATACTTGTA